TGTTTCCTGTAAGCCTCGGTTTTTTCTCGATCTTTTCTCAGGTGCGAAGGCACCAGTTAGCACAGCTGGCAAGAAACACCTGGTGGACATGTTCGAGCCCATAGACATCATTCATGGCCATGACTTGCTGGATGATGACAAGTTTTTTGAAGCGATGATGCTGGCGGAATCTGGACTCATCGGCGCAGGAGTGGCAGCACCGTTCTGTTGCAAACACTCCAGAGCCACTCTCAGGCGTCCTGGTCCGCGACCAGTTAGGACACCAGAGTTTGGATGGTGTTCCTTCGAATTCCGTGGCTCGACAGCTCTCGGTCCAAGAATCTTCACTGATCCATGGCCGTTCACGCTTCATCTTGTCAGCCATCAACCGTGGTGGTGGCCTCATCATCTTGGAGAATCCTGGGTCTAGCATGACGTGGCTTGATGACCACATGGTAGCATGGGTTCACTCAGAAGCTCCCTATGCAGCGCATGCACATGCTTGTCAATTTGATGTGGATCGGGCGAAAGTGTGGTGCTTCGTGTCAAATCGCTCTGAGATTTCAATGCTGGCAAGATCCTGTACTCATGGCCCCAAGGCCCATATGAGCATTGTAGGCCAAAGGCTTCCAGACGGTGCTTTTTGTCCAGACCCAGACTCACGGCTGAGTACCCACCATCCCTGGCAGCCGCATTGGCTACATTGGTGAGTCAGTTTACATCTTGCAAGGGCAGACTTTTGACCTTGCCTCAATGGCGTAGCATGATCCCTGTTGGGCCAACATTGACATCTCGAATTGGGGATGGTGGTGGCCTACGTAGCACTACATTGCATGTGGGCGCTACACAGAGTTCCAATTTTGATCAGTTGCGTGCAGCCTGGTTTCAAAGACTTTGCAACTCGAAAGACTGTTTGAAGATCTTTGCGCACTTACAGAAGAGGTCTCGTGATCCACCACTTATAAAAACTGAACTGTCACCGTACATTGCTGATATGGTCAAGTGGTTGGGTTTACAAGACCACGCTGATGATGTGTTGGCCGTCACTCCTGGCCAGCCGCTTCGCTTGAAGTTATTGAAGCATCTAGCTCTGGCGATGCGCGCTCCTGATGTGCAGTTTCTCGATACGTTGCAGGTGGGTGTCACCTTGGGCGTGAATGAACAGTTGCAGCCATCTCCAGCGTGGCCGCTCAACACTGATTGCACTTCAGAGCCAGTTCCTTTGCAGGATTGCACGTCCTCTTGGAAGAGTGCCCGTGACAATCACTCGTTGGTCCAGGATCTGGTTCAAGATGAGGTTCAGTCTGGATTTGTGGCTCATGTTCCAGGGGGCATTGAAGAGCTCAAGTCCAAGTTCAAACGCACTGCGGTGGGTAAACTTGGTGTGGTGATTACAGAAGGCAGGGCTCCCCGGCTTGTGGTGGATAGCAGCATCTCAAACGTCACAGCCAATACTGTGTTGCCTAACCATATGCTGCTTCCTCGTATCAACGATGTTATTATTCGTTGCACGCCAACCGAAATGCCACAAGATCAACTGATCCAACTGACTCGTGATGTTTCCAAAGCCCACAGGCGCATTCTGATCCATCCGGTTGACCAGGGCCTGTTGTGCTTTCATGTGGGGGATCAGTTATACAGATGCTTGACATTGAACTTTGGAGCCAGGGCTAGCGGTTTTTACTGGAGTCGTGTTGCTGGTTTGATGGTGCGTGTGGGTCATTGTCTCCTTGACCATCATCACACATTGTGGCAGTATGTGGATGATCTTCTGGCATGGCTGCACCGACAATCAGCCACTTTGTGGTCTTCTGCTCTGGTGATCCTGTACATGATTCTTGGGGCACCATTCTCATGGCACAAAGCAGCTTTGGCTCAACAGCTCGCATGGATCGGCTGGACGATTTGTGTGCGTACATGGACAGTTCAAATCCCAGCTGAGAAACTGTCCAAGATTTGCACGCAGATTCACAATATCTTGAAGTCTACACATGTTGACGTCAAAGACCTGCAGTCGGTGGTTGGAAGGCTATTGTGGCTCACTGCCGCATGGCACCACTTGAGGCCTCTGCAGATCCCACTGTACAAAGCGTTGCGCACCATCCCTACAACAATGGTGGGCATAGACCAAGTTTCGTTTGCTTCCCTGCTTGATATGGTGTCAGATGACCTTTTGCTTACATCGTCATTGACATCTCTTCATCATAGCCTGAACCCAGGCACCATGTGGCCAACACGTTTGTGGCTACCAAGACGGATTTGGCGGCGGTTCATGTGCAATCACGCAGACTCTGGTTGGGAGTGCCGGACCCATCATCACCTACCAGACGGGTTATCATGTCTATGAGATCCCCACCAGTGTTGCCAGTCACTGCAACAGCTGATGCGATGGCCTCTTCGGACATGGCAGGCCTTGGGGGTCTTGCCACTTTGGCCGATGGACGTACAGTCTGGTTTCAATTCAGAATTTCATTGGCTGAAGCCCGTGAACACTGGAGTCGGGTGGGATCTGATATGCAGAAGCATATTGCAGTTTGGGAACTCTTGGCTCAGTTTGCATTGACGGCTTGCATCCATTGGGCCTTGCCACACTCACGTGGCCCCATCACTTGTCATCAGGGTACAGATAACAGTGCTGCAGAGGCCACAACTGCAAAAGGTATCACTATGACTGTTGGCATGGCCCAGATCTTGACTCACTACTTTGTGTTCATGAGAAGATTTCATATTTTCTCTCGTATTACGCACATCCCTGGCCACTTGAACGAAAATGCAGATGCACTCAGCAGATTCAAGGACACCTCTGTCCCACTGGACTCAAGGTTGCAGTGGCGTATCAATTGGCAGGATCTGGCTAATCAGTTGGGAGTTCAGACTTTCCAACAAGCCACGCGATGGCCATCTACCTTCCGTGTCCGCCAGTGTTAAAAAAGAAGGCACCGAATCCCGATTTGTGATGGGGAGTTTGCTCCGGCTGGTCGTGTTTCGATTTCGTGTGGGCCATTTCACCCCCCGGTTTTTTGTGTTCACTTTTGTTATACCTGGGGTCCGCTCGACTTTGGGTATATAACCTGAACACTTGGGATGTCACAAATGGGTTTCACACTGGTTGTCACAATTTTGAATCACAAAACCTGTTGACGCTACACCAGTGCCACCCATATCGTTGCACCAGTCTTAAAAGGAACTGACAGCAGTCTAGGGATTCGGTTAACATTTTTCTTTGACACGTCCTCAGAATTTTGGTTGGTCCTTGAAGCAAAGGAAAGCATGCATTGAACTGCAAGAAAAAATCCTTAAATGGTGGGATTCCATGGGAACAGATGCCTCAAAAAATGTGATTTAATGGAGATTGAAACATTAAACATTGGTTTATTGATTTAAACATGAAAGATGAAGCAGACTTTAGTCTTCAAATTGTCTCACCATGCAGTTAAGAAATCTTGGATTTCGGGTCACGTTCAATGACTGAAGTCTTTTCTTTCTCAAGAGGGTGGGAGCGGTGGGTCCGCCGTTAATTTTAAGAAGTTGAAAAGCGACTTTGGGGGGCATGCCATGGACGATGCTGGATTGTCTGGATCTCTAGAGCCAGGACAAGATGCTGGCTTAGAGCAGTTTAGTGACTGGTTAGATGCTTCCATGGATGAACATGATGGTGATGCTTTTTCAAGTGATTTGCCCCGCAGTTTTCACATGTACAATGAAGCTACACTGATTGGACCTGAGTCACCCGATGTGATCTGGTCAGTGGACAACGGCGGAACTCTTGAGAGAGAACAAGCTGCGTCTGAGTGCCCTAGCCCTAGTTTGGCACGTGACTCGGAGGTTGCTGCAGGTGCAACACCGCTTGGACCTCAGCCGACTGTTGGACATGGACAGTGGCAGCTTGGAGTAGCTGCAAACCACTCACAGTTTGCACAGCGGCCTTCAAATCTTTTGTTGCCTTGGGAGACCAGAGTTTTTGCTGAAATTTTTGGGCATTCAAGTTTACTGGAGCTTCCTTTGAATCAACTGCCTGAACCTGACAGCGGTTTGATGGAACAAGTGATCGCTGCTGCTGAGACGCTTGAAGGTGCTGGAACTCAGACTTTGGATTCATGTTCTGACAAAGTGGTAAAGCATGTACAGGATTTGGAATATTTCGAAAACAAAAACAGGCAGTTGGAACTTGCTTGCGGTCAATGGTTGGAGTTGCTGTCATGTAGCTGGTATGCAACCGGTGTTGGAGAGATCTTGGCAAGGGATATGCAAAAAGATGCATCCGGAGCTTGCGCCTACGAGACATTAAAGGCATGTTTCGGAATCAAGAGTCCACAGACTCTGTTGAAGAGGGCCTCGAGCTTACGGAGGTATTTCAAGTGGCATGCAGAGTTGCGCAGTGATGCACAACAGGTTCATGTGAGTCCCCTGCCTTTTTCAGAAACAGATGTTTGGGCTTTCTTCCATTGGCTGCGTGATTTGAGACGTGAAAACCAACGTGGTTTTACAAATGCATCTGCATTTCTGGAAACAGTGAGATTCATGAAGTTTACGCTGGAACTGAGAGAGTCTGATGTGGTGCTGCACTCAAGAAGGCTTTTGGGATTTGCTGCAATTGAGAAACTGCAGAAGGGACCGACACGGCAAGCTGCACCACTTGAATTGTGCAACTTGCAACGCCTTCATGAGATTTTGGAGGGCTCTGGATGCCTTACTGACAGGTTGGGAGCTGGAGCCATGCTGATCTGCGTTTACGGGCGTGCCAGGTGGTCTGACCTGAGGTACATTCATCACGTTGTTGTGGAGGAAGGCAGGAATGGCTTTCTCACGTTATATACTGCTGAGCACAAGACATCAGCCATTGGAGCAAGGAGAGAACAGTACCTTCCTTTGGTGGTGCCATGGATGGGTGTGACGCATGATGAATGGGTCAAAACTTTCATGGATGTTTACAAGATGGCAGGGCTGGATTTGTTTCGTGTGCCATTGGGTCCACTGCTGCCGGCACCGCGCTTGGGAGGAACGTTTGGTGCAAGACCTTTGACAACGCCAGAGGCTGCGGAATGGTTGAGACTGCTCCTGAGGGGCACAGATGGATGTGAAAGCTTCAGGGCACATTCAATGAAAACTACATTGCTGGTTTGGGCAGCAAAAGCAGGGCTGGACAAGGAGGTGCGTGCCGTTTTGGGCCACCATGCATCTGCGCTCCAGGGTTCGGAGGTGGTTTACAGCAGGCATTTGCAGACACGAGCATTGAGAAAACTGAACATGATGCTCCACCGTGTTCGGATAGGTTTGGGCTTGGATGAAGATGCAATGGCACCAAACCCATATGCCACACCATATGCTCGTACTCCCAAACCTGGAGTTGTGGAACAACAGCCGATGACTCCTTTTCCTCCTGTGCCAGTTTTGGATGCGCCAAGAGATGTTGTTGAGACAGCCATGGAGGAAGTGAATGTCGAAGGTGACATGGACAGCATCAAGGAGGAGCAGCTTGATGAGGCTCAGATTTGTGCAGCTGCTTCAAGCATCTCACTTTTTGACCTCGGAGTTGTGGACACTGGTGTTATTGAGTTGGACAGCTCGTCTGGCAGCGAGAGTGGAAGTGATACCACCACATCCTCAAGTGATGAGGCCAATGTAAAGCAGCCTGATGTCCATGCATACGTTGACAGGGTACCAGAGGGCCAGCAGTTTTACAAGCATCGAAAGAGCGCAATCATGCACAGAGTCAAAGATGGCCAGAAGGTCGCAGCGTGTGGCGCTCAGCTCACTGCAAACTTTCAGTTGATGCCCAGAGAGATCAAAGTGCGTTGGCCGAAGTGTTTGAAATGTTTTCCAAAGGACTCCAATAGAATCAGAACAATTTCTCAGCTCACTGGAGCGATTGACAATGCGTTGGGCAGAGCCAAGCGACAGGCCGCCTGAGTGAAAGAAAAAGTTTGATTGCCGCAGTGGTTTGAGTTGAATTGTGCAAAGGCACTCAGTTGGCAGAAAGCTGCAATAAGTTCATGCAGAAAGCTGCGAATCATTTTATGTTCGTTTGAATGCGGCTCAAGGTTGGAGAAAGCTCCACACGCAGAAAGCTGCAAGTTAAGAAAGAACATGTCTGCAGAAAGCTGCAAAATTTTCTCGAACTTATTTCCATTTAAATTTGCAGGCAGTTGCACCAACTTCAGTTGCATTTTTGAGTTGATTTCATGTTTCTTGACGTGTCATTTGGTTTGTCTTTCACTGCTTCATTGCGCGTTTGTTAGGAACATGACTTCCTTGCTTGATAGCACAGCGCACTTTGAGGAGAGATGCGCAAGACTAGGCATGGGACAAGGTTTCGTCACAGCCCTAGCTGCAGTTCAGGTAGACTGCCTTTCAAAGCTTGCATTTGTGATTGGCCAGCCTGGACAGCCAATACAAAATCAAGAAGTCACAGATTTCTTGCAGAATACGTTGGGCCGTGCACCGACCTTTGCAGAGACTGCAGCTTTGAAGAGGCTTGGTTTTGAGGCTCATACATACCTGGTTGCAACGTTGAGACAACAGATTGATCAGAGTGATGAAACGCAACCCAGAAAAGTTGCTTTCGCTGAACGTACACAGCGAATGGACAGGCTCCGTCAGGACCTCAGAGGACTTGAAATTAGTGGTGAGCTTGAACCTTCCCACAGTTTGCTGGACAAGTGCTGTGCTATTTTTGACAGCAACAATGTCAAATGGCTGGAGCCGGCAATTTGCATTTCACGAAGTATGGAGGTTCAGGGCACACCAAAAGCCCGTGAGCTCACGTTGGAGAAAGGGTCACTGATCCTTAAACAGGATGACAAGTTGACTTGCCAGACTGACTCTGAGATAAAGCTGCACTATGCATTGAGCAGGAGGGCCGTTGCCTTAGCTTTTGCACGAGTGATGTCCTTTCAACAACACAATGCCTGGGTGACGTTTCTCTTTGAATCACTACACCGTGAAGTTCCTCCAGGTTACAGTCGTGCAAACTTGTCACAAGTTGTGAGTTGTGACAAAGCTGCTTGGGCAAGGCTTGCAACGTTGGGTGTGACAACACGTGAGGCAGCAGATGGAACGTTCCCGCTTGGGGAGGCCTTGCTATGAAGTTGGACCCTGCAATCATGTTGTACCTTGCCCCTTTGGCAAAACCTATACAAAGCACAGCTGCAGCACCATCCAGGCCTGCTCCTTACCAGGCCCCAGGTGGAAAGTCGCATGGAGGCAAGTCAAAAGGAAAGGCAGGGGGCAAAGGAAAGGCACCTCCTATGCCCCAAGAATTGAGAGAAAAATACTACAAGACTGCTGCAAATGAGCCAATTTGTTTTGCTTTCAATACAGCTGCTGGCTGCGCTCAGTCATCAACGGTGAAACCGGGCGATAGGTGCCCAAAAGGCTTGCGTGTCTGTGCAGAACCGCGGTGCCAACAACCGCACTCGTTGCAACAGCACAAGTGACTAGGTCCTGATGTGCAGAAGGACTTCAATGGGCTTCACATTGAGCAGTTATTCATGATTGAAGTGTTTGCTGGTGGAGCTGTCCTCACGTCAGTGGCTAAGCAGTATGGACTTGGTGGCATTGCAGTCGACAAGGTTCGAAAGCAAAATTCAAGAAGTACAATCTATCAGTTAGATTTGATGCAAGCAGCTGACAGGGAGCTCTTAGAAGAGTGGCTTTCTTCACCTCTTTTGCTATGGGTGCATTTTGCACCGGTATGTGGAACGGCGAGCAGGGCACGGGAGATACCCCGACCCGAACTGACAGCTGCACCTCAACCTTTAAGGTCTTTGGAACATCCAATGGGATTACCTACGCTTGGACCAGTAGATCGCCGGAGGGTTGAAATTGCAAATGAGCTGTTCAGGTACACTTGCCATCTTTTTGCAATGTGCTTGAGACGAGGTATTTTGGCCACCATGGAGAATCCCCGTGGCTCTTATCTTTGGGTAATACCCTTTGTGCTGGATCTCTTGCGAGCTCATTCACTTTTTGCTACAGATTTTCAGGCGTGCATGTATGGATCAATGCGGGACAAGTGGACAAGGATCATTGCCACCTTTCCTGAAATTTGTCAGATGGACGTTGTTTGCGACCGCACTCACAAACACCTTGGTTGGGGATTCACAACTAATGCACAAGGCCAAAAAATGTGGGCAACAGCAGAAGAGTCCCAGTACCCTCGAAAGCTCTGCATAGCTTTGGTACAAGTGGTGTTGCAAGTGGCTGCAACCAAAGGCGTGCAATTGCGACCAAACTGTTTGCACCACATCGTCGACCATCCTTTACTTTCAGCAAAGAATGCACAGATTGCAGCAGGTCGCCAACCAAGAGGTGCCAAAGTCCCACATTTGGTTCCTGACTTTCAACAGACAGCCGTTTTCTACGCTAAACAGCCTGCTGACATTCCATGTGGTCTTATGGGAAAGCTCTCAACTTCAATTCAGCTGCGGACTGAACAACAACAAGCAGTCCTAGTGCCAAAGCATTCACGTTTTTTACGTGGATGTTTCGCTGCAGACTCTGACATGGGGGTAGCAGGTGAGTCTTTGCGTGTGGACAGTGATGAGTTTTGGGCGTTCAAAGCAGTTTTTGGCTTGCCGTGGGATTGTGAACAGTTTTTGCGCAAAGCAGTGGAGATGGGCCACCCTTCAAAGCACAGTTTTTTGGTTCCAAAGGATTTGCAACTGGCTCTGGACAAACACATGGTTTGGAGCGAAGAAACCTTGGTTCAATATAGAATGAGCTGGTGTCGCAAATGGTTGAAAAGGGCAAAGGAGTTGGAACAGGCTGAGCATTTAGATGCGGCCGTGCGTCCCCCACATGTCAGGCAAGCCACTTGTGGCAAGAGGATCTTATTAACTGATGAGATCCTAGCTGAAATGCAGTACGAAGACTCTGGCGTGCTGGACTTGCTACGACATGGATCACCTTTGGCGGGTGAAATACCCAGGAGTGATGCCTTTGAGGAGCTCTACAAGCCTTGCATGCTTACAATGTCACAGTTACTGAAAGAGGCGCCAATGAGAAACAAAGCAGTGCTGGCTGTTTGTAAGAGCTCAGGTGACCTAGAAGTGGATCGGCAGCTCCTTTACGAAACAAGGGAAGAAGTGAAGCGAGGTTGGGCCATAGGGCCCCTGGACTCCATTCCGGAAGGTGGAGTGGTGTCACGAAGGTTTCCACTGGTCCAAAAGACAAAGACAAGAATGATCGACGATTTTTCGATCTCTGGTATCAACGACACTGCATCAACACACAACAAGGTTGATTTGCATATGGTGGATACTTTCGCAGCAGTCATCAGGGAATTCTTCAGAAGATGCAATGATGAGTCAAAGGCAAGTGCCCTGGTTGCGAAAACGTACGACCTCAAAAGTGCGTACAGGCAGGTGCCAATCAGAGAAGACCATTTGCGCTTCTCATACTTTTGCATTTACAATTGCGAAACAGATCAACCTGAAACATACCAGCTTGTCACCTTGCCGTTCGGAGCGACGCATAGTGTGTACAGCTTCCTTAGACTGGCCAGGATGCTGTACACCATTTGCACACGTCAGTTATTTCTCCTGACGACGAACTTCTATGACGACTATATTCTGGCGTCGTTACCGGGAAGCGTTGAGTCTGCAAAAAACTCCATGGAGTTGGTCTTCATGTTGACAGGTTGGAGGTTTGATATGGACGGCAAAAAAGCTACAGCCTTCGGGACAGTTTGCAAAGCCCTTGGGGTACAATTTGATTTGGCGAGCTCAGGTGAAAGGGTGCTTGCAGTGCGCAACACGGAGCAAAGGATCCAAGATCTACAAGCACTGATTGTTTCAACTTTACAAGCTGGAGAATTATGTAAGCAGGATGCACTTATCTTGCGTGGCAAACTGGGCTTTGCAGATTCCTTTCTACATGGCCGCCTAGGCCTCCTGGTGCTGAAGCAGTTGTCGGAACATGCGTACAGCAGGTCTGCAAAGCTTTCTCCCGAGCTTGCCTTTGGACTTCAAGTGATGATGAAAAGGTTATCCCTTGGCATACCCCGCACCGTCTCTGCAAAGGCGGTGCAACAATGGTTTGTCTTCTCAGATGCGGCTTACGAGCCGGACCTCAAGGAGGGTGGTATAGGTGCAGCTATCTTCAATGAATCTTGCGAGTGCGTGGGCTGGTTTGGATTTCCTTTACAGCCGTCAATGTGCCAGCATTTTGGAGCGGACATCAAGCAAACGATCATTTATGAGTTGGAGTTAGCTGCATCAATTCTGGCTTTGGATTTCTGGTCTGACAAAATGAAGGATGGTTTACAAATTTGTTTTGGTGACAACGACAGTGCCAGGTTTTCACTGATCAAAGGAGCTTGCTTGAGTTCACATGCCTCTGCCTTGATGAGATACCATCTTGAGCGTGAGGCATCGAACAATCTTTGCACCTGGTATGCACGAGTGCCGACAGAAGCGAATGTCAGTGACTATCCATCTCGCAATGCATCACACCCTTTGCTGCCTCCTTGCATGGATGAGTCAATTGCTGCAGTAGCGTGGTTCGACAGCTTACTGAATTTCTTGACTGCGGCAACACAGAGATGATGGGGGAAGCCAGTCTGCGCTGCCCCAGTTAAAAACAGAGTGCATTGCTCTGAGTTTGCATGCTTCAACGTGGCCAACTGCAAGTTAGACGATGAAGCAGACTTTAGTCTTCAAATTGTCTCACCATGCAGTTAAGAAATCTTGGATTTCGGGTCACGTTCAATGACTGAAGTCTTTTCTTTCTCAAGAGGGTGGGAGCGGTGGGTCCGCCGTTAATTTTAAGAAATTGAAAAGCGCCCACCCCCAGCAATTGCTGGACTCTTTCCCATCCCTTTTCACCTTCCTAGGCCAACCCGCAGCCTAGCCATTCTGCGCTGCCCCAGTTAAAAACAGAGTGCATTGCTCTGAGTTTGCATGCTTCAAACACCTCGTACCTCGCACCTGACACCTCGCCTCCCTCCTTCTGTTAGCTTGTCGTCACTGTGGGTGGCCGGGATGTCACAGCACCAGCTCAAGTGGAGCACTCTCGCTCCAGAAACTTATCCTGAAAACTCCAGCTCAATGTGGGCACGCACGGGCCCGAACCCTATGGCGAGCTCCGGATCAGGCTTGGCACGCACATACCAGCTAGGAATAGGTGCCAGAAAGAATGCCAAAAATGTCAAAAGGAATGCCAGATAGAATGTCAGAACATATGTCAGATAGAATGCCAGATGGAATGTCAGAAAATATGTCAGCTAGAACGCCAGATGGAATGTCAGACAATATGTCAGCTAGAATGCAAGTCGAACCCGTTTCGTGGTCTCGAAGGCGCCGGCACCGGCGGCGCAGTGGGAGCCGCTGCAGCACGCCTTGGTGGTTGCAGTGGTTGGCTGGACACGCCATTGCAATCCCAAGGGTAATCAAATCTGCATAGTTACAAGGGGTAAGTGAGCCAAATTATGGATTTGATTCTCAGAACATTAACATCATAAGGTTATCCTGCTCATTCGTACCCTCTGGTAGCTCTGGTAGCTCTGGTAATCAAGCAGTGTTTGCTCGGAGATTCCATATCTAGTTCCATGTTTTTTCCCATTCAAATTCAAATCACATTTTTGAAGAATTTTCACTTGCCATGTTTGATTACCAGGGGGAGGGGGTAGGGGTTTCTATTTTAAGATGTGTGAAATCACAAATTATCAAACGGCTGGATACAAAAATCAGGATTTCCTTAGCTAATTTAAATGACCAGTTGGATGTTTCATGATTTTGCGCGTCCAACGGAGCCTCAACACAGAGTTTGGGGGAGTTGGAAGCGAAACAGTTGGGATCCCCAAGAGCGTCTGGATCAAAAAATTGTGTGCCAGGGGGCCACATGTTTTTTGCTGTTTTCTAGTATTAAATCATTCCTAAATGGGGTCCACCTTGGGACACTTATTTGTATATCAAGGTTCTTAAAAAAAAACAAAAAACTTTTGCCAGCACCGGGTATAGAATCGGCACGGAAGGCATATCAAAGGTATCAATCCTGCCGCAGCAACAGATTGTTCCATTTTTTGGAGGAGAGGGGAGTACAGTCTTTTGTAGTTTCAAGTAGATGCTGTAGTGAGTTTTTGCTTGAAGAAACTGTTGGGGGCCACCAAAATTGTGCTTCAACCCAATTAATTCATCAATTTCTGGCTCGTTATGGCCAACCCCCACAAATGATTTTTTCTTATTTCATTTCCTCACAACAGGTTTGAACAAAGACAAGTCGTCGCAAATAGAAATGGTATGTCGAAAAACTGGTGGAGTGTGTGCCCACAAAAACGGCAAAAGGTGCCTGTGGGGATGTTTGCTACCCTTCTGTAATCTAATGTGGCATTGGAAATGCCCTATCGATGATTTTCATTTCGAGCACAAAGATTTATAACAACCACATATCAAGTTTGACCCGGGTGTAATTGTTTTCAAAACATGCTGATGAACATATGAGAAAAACCTTTGTCGGTTTGTGCTTGGCATAACCTTGCACTGAACAGGTTCGAGCTCACAGAGAAATACCACAAGCCGCCGGGGCGCCCGAGATACGGTAGCGCCCACGAATCTAACTGGCTGGGTATTCCCCTGCGATGCCTGGGATGTCCAAGTTGACAAGTTCATTGATGTTCATTTTGGATTAAAATCCGTCTGTGATTTTGGTCGGCAAATGTGACTCATGACTTTGGATCTGTGCGGTTGTGTGCTCTATGGTTTGACCTCAATCGCACGTTGCCGCGCAGAAACCATGTATTACTGAATCTCTTCACGGCAATGGTTCTTTCGAACTCTCCTCACGGTCGCGTTTCATGGCGGCCTTTGCGGTTCTTTTCTCAACAAATTTGTGGTCGCTCGTGGTCTCCCAGGACCCGGATGATCCACAACGCGGGGCGTGGATAAAGGGGTACGGAGGAAGATGTGCTTTTGTAATTCTCGTAGAATTGATAAGTCCATGGCTGAATCATGGTTCTTGCATGTTACTTGGCATGGGGAACCACAATGGAACCCACCATTCGCAATGCAAATTCATTGACAAGTTAGAGTCCTGAAAACATTAAGCGTTTCTTTTTGTGTCCCATGGATTGAGGTTTCAAAACGCCAACAACAACCTTAGATGTTTTTTTTTCCATAGGTCAGGGTGCTGCAGTCATGTCATGGGCCCAGTGATGTCCACCGTCTGTTTAGGACAGCGATGTCGGGTCCATGGTCCAACTGAATGTTGCCTCTGTTGCCTCTGTTGCCCAGTCGAGCACTTGCACCCCCGGCGGTGGCCTCTGCTTGGCAGCTGCAGGCCGCTCCGTGGAAGCGAAGCCGGTGGAATCACCGTAAGTTTGGACAGAGAACTGCCATAAACAATTCGATGATAAAAAAATATAAAAATCATTCCAAGAAAAAATGTTATCTGCATGATTTGCAATCATTTGTCATCTTCTTTATATATCTTTATCTTCGAATCTTTTGGGACAGTACTCATACCTGCCATTAGTACTGCATGGCCACTGCATCATGGATGACACGCACAAAACGAGAGACTCAGAATTTGGACATCAGGTAGCATTTTGTCAAGTGAAATCACATTGACAGTCATGACACAGAAAATCTGTGGATTGCATCGTAGGCCCTGGTTCAAGAAAAGGCGTTAGAGCAGTGCAGATTTCTTCGCATGGTAGCGGAGCGCTGCCCAGGCTCCTGCTACGTCGATTTGCTGTGAGCCATTGACTGACTTCTTTGCGACGGCTTCTAACTAGTGTAGCAAGTTCTTGGTCTTCTATTTGTACGCTCAGCTGGAACTGGACACCAGTCTGCATACTGGTCATCGATCTATTTGCAATTCTGGTACATACAATTTTGCTGCAGTGGCTTGAGGACATAACTTGCTTAGTTGGAGCATTGTGCAATCGACATCGAGGGTGTTTTCACAGGTGTTTGATTGACTGCTTGCGTGGTACAATTCTGGCTTGATTCATTTGCAATACAGGGATTTTTCATAAGTCTGTCTGTGCAGTGATTGCTGGAGAGGTGATTGAAAAGCATGGCACAACAGGTTGATGCCGGGATTTTTCAAGCAGCGCTTTTGCAGATTGCAGAGGCCACTCAGGCTGCTGCCAACGCAGCTCAATCTGCTAGTGCAGCTGCTACGGCTTCATCAGCAGCAGTGGCTGCAACTACGTCTTCGACTGGAAGCCCTGGTGGGGGAGCTAGCAGTAGACCCCAAATACAGGTAGACTGGTCAAAGTTGGTGAACAAGCCCCCAATATTCGATTTCCCAAATCAAGAGCAAGATCAACGTCATTTTCGAGATTGGCTATGGCAGCTCAGCCAGTATTTGATTTGTGTGGACGAAGGTTTCAGCAAGGAGGTGCAGCAGATTACAGATGAGCCCTCAAAAGCATTGGATTTGGATACAGCGCCATTGGAGGTCAGGCAACGATCTGCGAAGCTTTATGGACTCCTTGCTGGATTGGTGAAAAACAGGGCGCTTTCCATTGTGAGAGCAGCGCCACCAGGAAACGGTTTCGAGGCACTTACACAATTGGTGCTCTCCATGAGACCGAATACGCAAGCGAGAGGACTCTCTCTACTGGCGAGTGTGACTGCATGGCCATCATTCTCTATGAACAAGCCCTTACAGGCCCAATTGTTAAAGCTTGAGGATGCGTATGAAGAGACGAGAAGAGCTGGAACCACACTTGGAGATGAACTCAAGTGTGCAATCCTCTTGAGATGTCTTTCAGGTGCCCTCAAGACCCATCTTAGCTTGAGTTTGAAGGAAACTTCAACCTATGCAGAGCTTCGAGAAGAAATTCTTCGATGGGATCGAGCTCATCAGAAGTGGTCTAATCTGGTTTCTACATCGGATGACACCTCTGATCCAAAGCCTATGGAGGTTGATCGAATCAAGGGCAAGGGCAAGGGCAACTATGACAAAGGCAAAGGCAAGTCCGACCGACAAGGGCAATCAGAAAGGGAAATCGAAGCAGAAGGGCAAAGAGAAAGGAAAATCAAAGAACAACGACAAAGGTGGTCAATCAGGAAAAGGAAAGTCAGTTCAGAATCCAGGGAAAGGCAAAGGAAAGGGTGATCGAGTCTGCTATGTTTGCGGAAAGCCTGGCCACATGGCCAAAGATTGCTGGAGCGCAGTTCGAAATGTTCAGGCAGCTTCTTCTGTTGGTGGCTCAAATCAGTCTGAATGGACGAATTTGACGAGCGTGTCGCAACAAGGAGGAGCTAGCAATCATTCAGTTCAACAAGGTGCCCAGCAGTCTCAGCAGCAACAGCCGCAACAGGCATCTCAGTACAGAGTTTCACGGATCTCTGAGTTTGCAGAGATGAATTCAATGACAGAAGGTCCAGAACATTTTGTGTGCGACCTGAGAAGTAGCCCGATGTCAAGCCCTACATCAGCAGGCTCAGTGCGGGCAATTCATTACTACATTGGAGATGAGGTTGAATCCAATTCTCATGATGGAGAGATCAGAGCGATTGTGAGTGAGATTCCTTCAGACGCTGGTGGCATGTGTAGCATTTTACTTGATTCTGGAGCAGATGCAGCAGTTTTCCCAATGCAGTTTGCAGGATGTGGAGACGACCCAGGTGAAGCATCAGCGCGCCTCCATGACGCGCAAGGACGTGTGATCCCTGTTGAAACTATGAGGGACGTGGAGGTTAGACTTTTGGATGAGACTGGCAAGCTGGTTTTGCTGAAAGAGCGTGTAGCGATTTCACCACATGTGAGCCAACCGATACTCTGCTACGGGCGTCTTCTTCAGGCTGGTTGGGGAATGGATTCAAGAGAGCAAGTGCTTACACATGAAGCTGGAGTCAAAATTCCTATCGAGTTGCAAAACATGAGTGTGACTGTGAAAGGTTGGGTACGTGTTGTCAAGTCAGAAGCTGGTGAAACTTTGAATCAACCCAGTTCAGTGATTCGAGCAGTTCGAGCTGATGTCACTCCGCTGATGCGTTTGGGCCCAGCTGGATGGACATTGGACGCCTCCAATTGTGGCATTGGGCGTCACCACTCAGACAGGTTTCAGGACCCTACACTGGTGAGGCCCGAAATGTCAGGGAAACTCTATAGAACGACGCTGATCAGAGACAAAGGTGAGTGGTATGTTCTTGAGCTTTGTGAGTTGCTTGAAGGTCTGGTTGATTTGAACGCTGAAATTTATGGGTATGATGGTCCTCGAGATCTTTTGACAGTGATCACAGATGCTGAAAAGGACCCTGCTGTGATGGGATTCTCATTGCTTGGCGACGAGCCTGCGCTTTTTCCTGAGGTTGACAGGCAACAAGCTGAGGACATCCAAGTTGCGCCAGAAGATGTTGTAATTGGAAAAGAAATTGAAGGTGATGTTGAGTTGCAGGAAGGGGTTCAAGTGCCACTTGAAGGAAAGCTGGTTTTCTCGCCTTCACCTACGGATATGGTTCTTGTGAATGGCGTGGAGCTTACACCAGAGAGCTCACTTCAGGCCCTCAGGACTGCATTGACATTTCATGCTTTGAGCACTTCAGGTTCGAAATCCAAGTGTTTTACACGTCTTCTCAATCATCAAAAGCAGCAGGAACTTGAGATCATCCATGCAGCGACTGAACATTACAAGTCTGAGCTGGCACGTGTTCCAAAGGCAGTTGATTTGAAGGTGCCCCCATCTGAGGAGGAGCAACAACTTCACAATTTGTCACATTTGCCTTATGCTCCTTGGTGTGCTAGCTGTGTGTGTTTTCGTGCTCGTGCTGACAAGCAACAGCGTTCAGATGGCGCACGACGAGCAGGTGTGGCAACGATTTCATTTGATTTCTGTTACACGAAGTCTGTGCCAGAATCCATGGATGAAAAGCAGGTTGATACAATGGTTTGCTTGGTGATGTGTGACAGTGCAACAGGATACCTGCATGCCGTGCCTCTGAGGAGTAAGAATCAATGGAGCCTTATGACTCGTGAGCTTCTTGGGTTTGCTGGCATTTTAGGCCACTCAGAGCTTGTCTTCATGTGTGACAACGAGCCCACATTGTTGCAACTTCAAAGGATGGTAGTGAATGCAAGACTCAGCATGGGTTTACCGACACGAAAGACAAACCCTGCACCATACAGTCATGGGAATTCTTTGGTTGAAAATGCGGTTGGACGCATCAGACCTCTGGCAGGGACACTAGTCCATTTTCTCAGTGAAAAAGTTGGTGTGGAGTTTTCGACAAACAGTCCATGGTGGTCTTGGGCATTTCGTCATGCTTGTTTTCTTCTGAATAGGTTCAGCCCAACTCGTGGCGCAACTGCATACGAATTGCTCTACAACAAGGCCTATGGAGGTGCAATTTGCAACTTTTGGTGAACCAGTGTATGGATTTGCAAACGTGACTGGAAAAGGAACAGCAAAGTGGAGACGCATGGTGTTTCTGGGGAAAAGTGATCCACAAGACACTTATCTGCTTTTTGATGGGCATGGGTTGGTTTTGACCCGAAGCATTCGAAGAATCTCTACAGTTTGGCGTGGACACTTGCCATTCTATTTGAACTTCAATTGCTGGTCTT